CCACATCGCTACGGGTGATTTACAGGCGAGTTAGCCTCAGAAGCCTCATAGTTCCGATTGCGGCCCGCAGCGACCTTTCTGCTTGCATGACCCCCCCCTTCCGCTTCAGGCGACCGCGGGTGTGGGAACATGTCGAGGAAACGTAAGACGCGAGTGCGTCGGACCTCGGGCTCGCCGACTCTTCTTGACGAGCGCGTCCTGGAGTTTGACGGTCCAGTCTGTGGGAAGTGTTGCAGGTCTCGCTCGCTTTCGCGCTCAAAACACTGGCCTAAGACCTGGCCTCGTCGTCCAGTTTCGTTTTCTCGCTGGTCTCGCGCCAACTCTCAGACCCGGTCTCGTCGTTTTCGTGATGGCCCCAGCAGGTCGACCCGAGGTCCCCCGACTTCCGTCTTGCGCCTCCCCGAACAGACGGAGAGGCCGACTGCAGAAATCGAGGCACCCTCCCTGCGCTCCCCGCTAGCTCCCTCCGCTCCCCTCCATCTAGCTCCCTCCGCTCCCCCTCCCCGGGGCTCGACCGTCAGGTCGGGCACGTCCCCCTACCGGGGGACGTTGGGCGAAAAATCGGCAATACTCAAGAAATGCCCCCCCAAATGGGCAAACATAGTCAAACACATCGTCCCCATACTTTTTTATTTATTTATTTATATATATATATATATATATATATATGTGAATCTTCCTCCTGTAGAGGGACACGCCCGACGTAACGTTATCCCCTTCCTCTCCCCCTCCCCAGGGCTCGACCGGCACGGTGTTCTGGCGCTCCCGTTGGCCACTATCTCGCTTCGACCCCGCCTTTGCAGCAGAGGCGGCACGAAGGCACAGCGAGGGAAGCCCAGACCGGGCGGGTCTGGGCTTAGGTCGGGCCTGTTCCCTTACAGTTGTGGAGGACGGTCAATGGAGAGGAAGCATGTTGCCAAATAATTTCCAGATGTCTAGAAGATGTTTTCAAATTGCTTTAAACATGTAAAAGCAGTTTTGTAAAAACATTTCCAGGACATCTTCCGACATTTTAAACACATGTTTCATTAGATGGTAGGACTGTTAGGGTGTCCATTGTCGTGGCATCCACAACCTTACAGGAGGAATATCCAAAAATAGTAAATTAGACTGGCGAAGGACCCAACCATATGCAGTTGAGAGTACCGCAATTGTGAATATCTTCTTCGGTGGCGCTCCCTATGGGGCCACGAGCCGTATGAGGGGTGTGCCGAAATGCGTGGCAGTGTACACAATACGAACGAAGACGATAGGTCCGAATATGAAAGCTTGAGCGCGTGCGAGTCGGATCGCGAGCGAGTCTGATTATGAATGAATCTGCGCGCAATTGATTCTATTCGCATGAATGCGTGCATGGATACGCCCAGTGTAAATGTATGTATACGACTGTGAACAGTTTGGGTCTGCGTGACTCTCGGTACTCGTGACTCTGAGCGTCGCCTCTGCAGGGGGCTTCCCTCGGAACCCCGACGGCAGCGCCCGCGCGCCGCGACGCCCATGTCGGCACGCCACACACCTGGTGTGCGGGACGCATGCGGACGGCAGCACTGGGGCCTTCGGTGGGGCTCCCTGTGGGGCCACGAAACGTGTGAGGGGTGTGCCGAAATGGGTGTGCGGGACGCATGCGGACGGCAGCCATGGGGCCTTCGGTTGAGCTACCTATGGGGCCACGAAACGTGTGAGGGGTGTGCCGAAATGGGTGTGCGGGACGCACGCGGACGGCAGCACTGGGGCCTTCGGTGGAGCTCCCTGTGGGGCCACGAAACGTGTGAGGGGTGTGCCGAAATGGGTGTGCGGGACGCATGCGGACGGCACCCATGGGGCCTTCGGTGGAGCTCCCTATGGGGCCACGAAACGTGTGAGGGGTGTGCCGAAATGGGTGTGCGGGACGCATGCGGACGGCAGCACTGGGGCCTTTCGGTGGAGCTCCCTGTGGGGCCACGAAACGTGTGAGGGGTGTGCCGAAATGGGTGTGCGGGACGCATGCGGACGGCAGCCATGGGGCCTTCGGTGGAGCTCCCTATGGGGCCACGAAACGTGTGAGGGGTGTGCCGAAATGGGCGTGCGGGACGCGTGCGGACGGCAGCACTGGGGCCTTCGGTGGAGCTCCCTGTGGGGCCACGAAACGTGTGAGGGGTGTGCCGAAATGGGTGTGCGGGACCCATGCGGACGGCAGCTGGGGCCTTCGGTGGAGCTCCCTATGGGGCCACGAAACGTGTGAGGGGTGTGCCGAAATGGGTGTGCGGGACGCATGCGGACGGCAGCACTGGGGCCTTCGGTGGAGCTCCCTGTGGGGCCACGAAACGTGTGAGGGGTGTGCCGAAATGGGTGTGCGGGACGCATGCGGACGGCAGCCATGGGGCCTTCGGTGAGCCTCCCCATGGGGCCACGAAACGTGTTGAAGTGGAGCCACGCTTGAACCTGTCGGGACACGCATGCGAACGCAGCCATTGGAGCCCTCGGTGGGGCTCCTTATGGGGCCACGAAGCGTGTGAGGGGTGTGTGCCGAAATGGGTGCGGTGCCGTCATGCGAACGCAGCCACGGGGGCCCTCGGTGGAGCTCCCTATGGGGCCACGAAACGTGTGAGGGGTGTGCCGAAATGGGTGTGCGGGACGCATGCGGACAGCAGCACTGGGGCCTTCGGTGGAGCTCCCTGTGGGGCCACGAAACGTGTGAGGGGGTGCCGAAATGGGTGTGCGGGACGCATGCGGACGGCAGCCATGGGGCCTTCCGGTGTGCGCTCCCTATGGGGCCACGAAGCGTGGAGGGCGTGTGCTCGAAATGGTGTGTGCGGGGAGCATGCGGACGGCAGCACTGGGGCCTCGGTGGCGCTCCCTGTGGGGCCACGTAAACGTGTGAGGGGTGTGCCGAATATGGGTGTGCGGGACGCATGCGGACGGCAGCCATGGGCCTTGGGGAGCTCCCTGTGGGGCCACGGAAACGTTCAGTGAGGGGTGATGCCGACTTATGGAGTGTGCGGGAACGCATGGCGGACGGCAGCACTGAGGGGCATTCGGTGGAGCTCCCTGTGGGGCCACGAAACGTGTGAGGGGTGTGGGGCCGAAAAATGGGTGGTGTGCGGGACGCATGCGGGACGGCCAGCCATGGGGCCTTCGGTGGAGCTCCCTTAGGGGCCACGAAGCGTGTGAGGGGTCTTGTTGCACTACCGAAATGGGTGTGCGGAACGCATGCGCATGTGAGCGCCGCCACTGGGGCCTTCGGTGGAGCTCCCTATGGGGCCACGAAACGTGTGAGGGGTGTGCCGAAATGGGTGTGCGGGACGCATGCGGACGGCAGCCATGGGGCCTTCGGTGGAGCTCCCTATGGGGCCACGAAACGTGTGGAGGAGGAGGAGGTGGGAGGAGAGGAGGAGGAGAGAGGAGAGAGGAGGAGGAGGAGAGGAGGTGGGACGCGGGGCGCTGTTTCTTCAAAGCGAGGACCCAACACCACAGGATGGTTGGGAAAAATAGTCAGGGGAAGATTTTTAGACTATTCTTGCCCATTTGGGGGGTACTTTCTGAGCATTCCTTATTTTTCGCCGACATTCCCCCTGTAGGGGGACATGCCCGACCTGAGTCTAGGGCGAGGGCACATTTGTTCCAGAGCGTTCCGGAACGCTCTGAAAAGGCCGCGGCGCCTGAGACATCCTCCATAGCCGCCGGATCTCGGAGGTTCTCGACTTGTTCTTATCCGAATTAACCCTCGTCCTGGCCTCGTCTGCTCCCCCGCCTGCAGCTCAGGCGGGCGTCTCGATGCGTCAGTCGTCGTCGTCGCCGTCGTCGCCGCCGCCGCCGCCGCCGCCGCCGCCGCCGCCGCCGCCGCCGTCGTCGTCGTCGTCGTCGTCGTCGTCGTCGTCGTCGTCGTCGCCGTCGTCGTCGTCGTCGTCGTCGTCGTCGTCGTCGTCGTCGTCGTCGTTGTCTTAGTCGTAATCGTAATCCTAATCGTAATCGTCGTCGTCGTAATCGTCGTCGTCGTCGTCGTTGTCGTCGTCGTCGTCGTCCTGGCTTCGTCGTTGTCGGCGTCGTCTTGCACAGCGAAAGCGAGGAGCACCGTGCAGGTCCGAGCCCTGCTCCCCTCCTTCGTCTCCCTCGGGGCGCGGGCGCGGAGCCCAGGCGGTCCAAGAGGAGGAGGACGAGGCGGAGGAGGAGGCGGAGGGGGAGGCGGAGAAGGAGGAGGAGGCGGAGGAGGAGGAGGAGGAGGAGGAGGAGGAGGAGGAGGAGGAGGAGGAGGAGGAGGAGGAGGAGGAGGGGGAGGAGGAGGAGGAGGAGGAGGAGGCGGAGGAGGAAGGCGGTGGAGAAGGAGGAGGAGGGAGGGGCAGGAGGAGGGGGGGGAAGGAAGTCGAGACATTCTGGTGGCATCGGTGGCGCTGAGCACCGCTCGGAGGTGCCAATTATATGATCCTGGATCAGAAAGGGGTGGAAAGAGGTACCCGTACGCTGCCCTTCCCTCGTCATCGTTTTTGTTGGCCTCCTCGGGAGGCCCTCGTCGCTACAGCGGGATTCGCTTCGAAACTGCTTAGAACGGCACCCCAGGAGAGGTTGCGGGGAAAGGTAGCGGTATCGAGTACCATTTTGGTTTCCAGAAGCCCCCTACTGACGGTCTTGGATGAACATCGGACGTGGGCTGATCTGGCGCTCGACGTCTTGCGCAGCAGGATGGGGGGGAGGTAGAGGAGATGGCGGAGAAGGACGATGACGAGGAGAAGGATGAGGTGGAGGAGGAGGATGATGAGGAGGAGGAGGAGGAGGAGGAGGAGGAGGAGGAGGGAGGAGGAGAAGAAACATCAACAGCAGGAGGAACATGAATGAGAGCAGCATGAGGAGTACAAGGAGGAGTCTAATTCTCGTCGGTGCTGCATTCGCTTATCGAACATGTGGGTGACGACGAGGCGGACGCGGAGGGGGACGACTCCCTCCTCCTCGCCTTCATTCCGTCCTCCTTTCTCTTTGTTTCTCCGTCCCCTCTTCTCCCTCCCCCGCCCCCCTCCTTTGGCTGCCAGGACGGGCAGGTTGCCGTGGCCTGCTTCGAAGAAGCGAAGACCATCGTCACTGGCATCGTCGGCTGCGCTGGCCTGATACCCACCATAGAGGCCATCAAAGCTGGCAAGGACGCTGGCCAAGCCAATCAGGGAGGGAAGAGGCCTTGGCCAACACCTGGCAATATTCCTTGTCGTGTTGTCAAAGTAAGCGCCACTCCTCGATCGAGAAGTGTCGAACGTACGTGTCGACGACGTTTCGCGAATATCCACCAGCCTGTCCAGAAACGATCCCTGGGCGAGTTGTCATTGCCCGGGAAGCGCAGGAGCCTGCAGTGCAGCAGAGAGGGGGGCAGCTGTGAAGATGAAGCTCGGAATCAGCCTGAGTACACCTTAGGCGATGCTGAAGAAAACTTAAGTTTTCGGCCAGAGTCTCGATTTTTCTTAACGTTTCAATGTAAATCCCAAGATTTTGATAGAAGTTCTGGGTTTTATTCAATTTCTGAGACTATGAATTTCTTAACCCATGATTTCTTCAGCATTTCGCAGGGTGTAGACCCAGGAGTCAACCAGAAAGGCCGTCGCTGATCTCTCGAGCTGGGCGTTCTCGAAGTCCTCTTGAAGGGCCGTGTCTGGGCGCCGCCGGGGCCCCTCGGCAGGCCTTCGGGGCTCCTTTTGGGCCCCTCTCGGGGGCCGCGGGGACCGCGGAGGTCGATCGACAGCAAGGAGCCGCGTCTGGGTGCAGGATCCTGCAGGATCCTGCAGGATCCTTCGCGTTGACCCGGGTATGGGTGCAGGATCTTGCAGGATTCTGCAAGGCCTGACCGACCCCGGTCTGGATGGACCCGGGTCCAGGAGATCCCCGAAAGGAGAGGCGCCGACGCGCCCCCCACTCCCCCCTCTTTGAGTCCGAGATCGCGTCTCTCGGCGCCATCGTGGGGCTCTCTTGAGCGATCTCGGCCGAGGCACCAAGCACCTGAACCGCACACGGCCGGGCCGAGGGGTAAGGTCGAGGTCGGTTTGGGGAGGGTTCCCGAATGCTCTTTAAACTGTATGCGGTCGGACCGAGGCGTAAGAGCGAGGTCGGCTCGGGGAGGGTATCCGCATGCTCTTCGTGCTTGCTTCGGATGCTCTTGTGCATCCTGGCTGGCGGAGGGCCGCGCGCTCTGGAACGCTGCTCGCCTGGCCCAGGTCCGACCGCAGGCCGCAAGCCTCAGCTTGCGGAGGCCCGCGCGGACTCCTCGGCGATCGGCGCTGCGCCGCCTCTGGCGGTGCCTCCGGCGGCGCCCCGCTCCTGGCGCGCTCCGCGCGCCAAGGAGGGGGGGGCAGCGCCGATGCCAGAGACCCGCGCGGAGCCCCGGAAGTCTATCGAATGGCCTTCGGCCCATCCCGCCGCCGTCTACCGGCCTACAGTCGGACCGAGGTACAAGGTCGAGGTCATCTCGGGGAGGATACCCTAAAGGTTTTCGTGATTGTAGGATGTTCTTGTGCATCCTGGGGAGGGTACCCTTGGGTGATCTGTGTGTTTTGTCCGACGGATGGTATCGTGTTCTTGATGGCTGTTCTTTTGTCCTAGGTCCGAGTGTACCATCGAGTCGGCCTAGAGACTGAGAGCAAAACACGAAGCGCGCGTTCGGCACGATCTGTGATCGTGCGGCAACGTGTAATCAGAGTCCATCCTTCTTGACATTGTGCCCGGGGAGGGGGCAGGCAGAGCAGGGAAGTACTAGGGGGAGAGGAGACTCGAGCTCCTCCCTCTGCCTCCTCTTAACCTCGCTCGGACGTGTGCATTTTTCTCGGCGAGGACCATCGAGGAGCATCCTGCATCATCGATCAACAGAACACAAGAAACATAACCCTGTACGGGGAATGGACGTCCGAGCGACGGCAAGAGGAGGAGGAGGAGGAGGAGGAGGAGGATGAGGATGAGGATGAGGATGAGGATGATGATGATGAGGAGGAGGAGGAGGAGGAGGAGGAGGAGGAGGAGGAGGAGGAGGAGACGGAGGAGGAGGAGCAGGAGGAGTAGGGGCAGGAGGCAGAGAAGGAGGAGAATAAGGATAATCATACTATTATTAACAATCATACTCACAGAGGAGGAGGAGCAGCAGGAGAGGCTGAAGGAGCAGGAGAGGTAAGGGGGATGAGTTCGAGAATGGTTTCGTCTCCTCTGCCAAGCTCCTCCCTCTGCCTCCTCCTCGTGTCATCGTGATCGTACTCCGGGCGAGGGCCCAACGCTGCTCTTCCAAAACGCCGGGCCTCTCGAGGACATCGCCTTGGCGAACAAGGAGACCCTGATCGCTGGCGGCCCCGTGATCGCGCCGATGTTCGAGCAGGACCGTCGGCCTCGGGCTGCAGCGTCTCCCGAGCTTCTCCTCTCCGCCTCGTCTCGTCATCCTCTCCTCCTGCAGTGCCTGGTGAAGGCTTCTCCTCCTCCTCCTCCTCCTCCTCCTCCTCCTCCTCCTCGTCCTCCTCCTCCTCCTCCTCGGTCCTCCTCTCCTCCTCCACCTCTCCCTCCTCCTCCCTCCTTCCTCCTCCTCCTCCCTTCCTCGTCCTCCTCCTCCGCCTCCTCCTCCTCCTCCTCTTCAGCCTCCCCTTTCTCCGCCTCCACCTCCGCCTCCTCCTCCTCCTCTTCCTCCTCTTCCTCCTCCTCCTCCAACTCCTTCTCCAACTCCTCCCAGCAAGGCCTCTGTGAGCGCTGACGCACACGTGCCCCTGACCGCTTCGGGCTGCACATCACGAGGGCGCTTCGCACGCTGACCGATGGCATGAGGGTGCTTCGCACGCTGCCGCTTCCCCCAGAGGGGCCCGGTCGGCCACCCCTGGGGGAGTAGAACAACATGTGGAAGATCAGGAACAAGAAGCCCGACAGACAGGCAGGAGGGAGGGAGGGAGGAGAGACACCTCCTACTCCCCCTCCTCCTCCTCCTCCTCCTCCTCCTCCTCCGCCTCCTCCTCCTTCTCCTCCCTCGCCTCCTCCTCCTCGTCCTCCTCCTCCTCGCCTCCTCCTTTCAGGAGGCCGACGCGGCAGGCCTGGGCGCGAGAGCTGGATCCACGTTGCCGCACGTCTTTCCAGCGCTTTCGGCCCAGGTGTGTGCGCAGAGGCACGCTGGCCCTCCGCCTGAGTGCCCAGCGTGTGTGGTCTCCAGATGCTCCACAAGGTGAGCAATCCGTGTGAGCGACGCCAGGCAACGGGGACGCTTTCGCGCCGAAAGTGGCGCGTACCCAGACGTGCGACGTCCTGACAAAAATCAGGACGGAGGTTTTCCATCGCCTTCGGCCTCCGGAGGCCCTCGCCGGGCCCCGGGACCGTCAACAGCGCCTCGGGATGAGAACCGGCCCTGGGGTCCGGGACTTCTGGGGACCGCGCTTTGAAAAAATCAGGACATCGACATGTCTGGGTAAGCTGCCCGCGTAAGTTTGCGCGTAAGCGCCCTCGTCTCCAATGTGGCGTGCCGCGCCGGCGGCCCGCGCAAGCTTCGGCGCAAGGTCGCTACGTCATCTCGCATGAGACCCGCTTTTGATCGACGCTCATGTATGCTTCCAGTTATTTTCCAAGTTTTGTTTATCGAGTGCGCTGGCGGCGCATCACCGGCCGCTCCCCAGGAGTTTGACGCACGCGTCGGCGCGGAGTTGCAGGGCGAATGGTTCGCTTCGGACGTCTTGTTTGAGCCTCCTGGGCCGCCCTTGAGAAAGCTTCTTGGCGCCCCTCGGAGGCATTGTGGGAGCTTCTTGGCGCTTCCTGGGGACGTGGGGCATTCTGGGAGCCTCTCGGGAGTCCTTGGGGGGCCTCCTGGAGCTGTATGAAGCGTTTTGGGGGCAAGACTTGGGGGAAGGGCTCCGAGTGCCTCTTCGCTTTCACCCTCTGGGGCCTGTCATGGGGCCCTCTTAGGACTCTGGGGGGCCCTCTTGGGGGCCTCCTGGGCCGTTCTGGGGCGACTTTGAGGGCCTCTTGGGCTGTCTTGGAGTGTTGAGACGCCCGAGAAGGCGAGGGCGCTACAATCTTTCAAGACTTGGCGGGGGCACCGGGCGGGTGCACCACGGGGGACTCTGGAAGCGTCTGGGGAGCCTTGAGATCTGTTTTGTGCTCTTGGGACTCTTCTGGATCGTCGTACACCTTAGGCGATGCTTAAGAAAACCTAAGTTTTCGTCCAGAGTCTCGATTATTCTTAACGTTTCCATGTACATCCCAAGATTGTGATAGAAGTTCTGGGTTTTTATTGGAGTTCTGAGACTCTGAGTTTCTTAACCCATGATTTCTTAAGCATTTCGCAGGGTGTAGGTTGTTTTGGGCCCATCTTGGCCTCTGAAAGGCGTCTGCCCCGCGGAGGCTCGCGAGGGGCCGCTGGCAGAGCAGCGGCCCACTGCAGGGGCATCACGGAGTTTTTGTCCATGTCTGTCTCCTGCTGCTTTGTGGTTCCAGCACCGTGCTTCTCGAGGACGCCGGCGGCGCATCAGGGGCCGCTCCCCAGGAGTGTGACGCACGCGTGGGAAGCTGTTTGCTCGGCGACCGATCCATGCTCGGGGCGTCCTGGATGCCCCTCGAGGGGTGTCCTGGGGGGGTCTGCTGAGGACACTCGGCGCCTCGGGGGGCCTCTTTTCCCCGCCTGCACCCCCGCGCGAGACTCGAGGGGAAGCGAAGCAAGGGAGCGGGGGGCTCCGGAGAGGCGACGAAGGCAACGTGCGCCGAGGGGCGCCAAAGACGAGGCTGGCATCAGCGACAGCGGTGAGGCGAGGGTCAAACTCTGCCCAGCCAATCCTGACGTGCGGGGCCTCCAGGGAGGAGGAGGAGGAGGAGGAGGAGGAGGAGGAGGAGGAGGAGGAGGAGGAGGAGGAGGAGGAGGAGGAGGAGGGGGAGGAGGAGGAGGGGGAGGAGGAGGAGGAGGAGGGGGAGGAGGAGGAGGAGGAGAGGGGGGAGGAGGAGGAGGCGGAGGAGGAGGAGGAAGGAGAGGAGGATGGGAAAGGCAGGGGGAGGAGGAGGAGGCGGAGGAGGAGCAGGAGGAGGCGCGGCAGGACATCCAACCCCTCCAGCCTGCTCTGTGGGCCTCCCGCCTCGCGCAGCGCGCCGGGGCCAGAGGCCCGCGACGCCGGAGGTCGGAGGCCTCGAGGCCTGCGGCCTCCGCACGTCGGCCGGCTCCCTCGGGCTGGGGGTCGACACGTCCCCGGCGCGGCGCGTGTTCTGGCGCAGGGTCTCTTCCTCCTCCTCCTCCTCCCTCTCCTCCTCCTCCCTCCTCCTTCCTCCTCCTTCCTCTCCTCCTCCTCCCCCTCCTCCTCTCCTCCTCCTCCTTCCTTCCTCCCTCCTCCTCATCCTCCTCCTCCTCCCCTCCTCCTCCTCCTCCCCCCCTCTCCCTCCCTCCTCCTCTCCCCCTCCACCCTCATCCTCACCCTCCTCCTCCTCCTCCTCCTCCTCCACCCTCCTCCTCCTCCCTCCTCCCCCTCTTCTTCCTCCTCCTCCTCCCTCCCCCCCCTCTTCCTCCTCCTCCTCCTCCTCCTTCCTCCTCCTCCTCCTCCTCCTCCTCCTCCTCCTCCTCCTCCTCGATGCAAGTCAGACGTGGGTCCGACGCGGATCCGTCCTGGATCCGACGTGAGTTGGGTCCCAAGGTGCCGCGCGAGGCCTCCAGGATTTCTCTCTCACACAGCGGGCGAGGGAGTCGTCGAGGACGTGGGAGGTCAGAGCTCGAGGTTTGCGTTCGTTTTCGTCTGTTCCTGGCGGCTGTTCAGCATCGGGGTGCCTTCCAGCCGCTGCGCCTCGCCGAAAGCGCTGCAGGGTTCCCCGAATCGTCCCGAATGGCGGCCGGAGAGCCGAGCTACGACCCGAACACCAAGGGGAGGGAGGTCAGCCTCTTGGGCCGGGCTACCACCCGAACGCCAAGGGGAGGGAGGTCAGAGGAGGAAGAGCCACCCATGCCATTGCCCTTCCCTCGCCGTCGCCCTCTTGGGCCAGGTTACGACCTCCTCCTCCTCCTCCTCCTCATCCTCCTCCTCCTCCTTCCTCCTTTTTTTCGTGCCTTCCTTTCTTTTTGTTTTTTTTTTTTTTATTTCTTTTTTTTCTTTTGTGGTCTTTTTTTTTTTTTTTTTCGAGGGAGGTCAGATGCGGAGAGCCACCCATTGGCCACTACCCTTCCCTCGCCGTCGCCCTTCTTGGGCCCAGTGTACGACCTCCCTCCTTCCTCCTCCTCACCTCCGCCTCCTCCTCCTCCTCCTCCTCCTCCTCCTCCTCCTCCTCCTCCTCCTCCTCCTCCTCCTCCTCTCCCTCGAGGGAGGTCAGCGGAGGCAGAGCTGCCTTTCCCTATCGCCGTCGCCCCCTCTCGGGCCTCCCCCGGGAGAGGCCCCTCGCCGCGCCGCCGCGGGGCCCGCCTCGAGAGGCTGGCCGGAGCGCGCCCCGGGAGAGGTCCGGGGAGCAGCGGGGAGTGCAGTGGAAACCTCGGGTCGACCGAAATGGGTACGGAAAGAATGGGTACAATCTAGGCCTCCTAGATGGGGTCGGAGTAGATGGGGTCGGAGGATCGCGCCGCATCGCCGATGCATCGGCGATGCGGCTCGATTTGGGGCCCAATTTCATTCACGCCGACGTCGCCGATGCATCGCCGACGTCTCCAGTGCATCGCCGATGCATCGCCGATGCATCGGCGATGCATCGCCGATGTATCAGCGATGCGGGGAGATCCTCCGACCCCATCTACTCCGACCCCATCTAGGAGGCCTCTATACAATGCCCAACATCAGTTCCTGTCCATTTTGAACAGGGCTCGCTGTCCGCGCCGCCGCGGCCTGTGTCCGTTCAAGGCAGAAGGCCGCCTGCCCAACAGCGGCCGCTGTTGGTTTGGGACCACATTTGTTGCTGTGCACTGTACCCATTTTATCCGTACCGTTTTCGGGCGTCCAAGAAACCCATGCCAAGAAAACGAACAACGACGGCGACGGCGACGACGACGACGACGGCGAGGGCTGCACCATCCCCAGCGGTTCTTGCGTTTTGTGCGACCGCTGCTTGTCCATGTTGTACCCCGGAAGCCCAGGCCAAGACGCACCCTGCTTGCCTCCAGGGTGCCCTGGGTTTCTTGGGTCTCCATGGTTTGGGTATGGAAAGCGTGACCTTTCCACCAGAAGTCCATGAACGTCTTGGGGTCTCAGGGTTGGGCTTCTTGAGGAAGGCTTCTTGTGGCTGTAGCGGTATGGGTACCTTGTGGTTTTCCCACCACCGTTTCGAGGATCTCGATCGAGCGGAGGTTTGCCATGGTTATCGGCCTCCGGGGGCCCTCGCCGGGCCCCAGGATGGCGTCGACGAACGACTCAGGACGGAGAGCCGGCCCACGGGGAAGGGTTCGGACTTCCAGAGGCCCCGCATCGAGACATGCAGGGCGTCGGATGTCTGGGCAGGGCAGGTGCGACACTGGGCACGCCAAGGGGTCGGCTGCGGCTGCTGCGCTGGGCGCCGGGCGCCGCGAACAGAAGCATTCATGGGCCCGACGCATCAGAAGGGATCGGCTGCTGCTGCTGCTGCTGCTGCTGCTGCACTGGACACTGGACGCCGCGAACCGCGAACAGAAGCGGAGGTCTGGCGCAGCAGGAGGGGATCGGCGGGAGGACTGGTATGCTAACTAGGCGCGTCGTGAGCGCGCCTGGCTCGTCTCCCTCCCCTCTCATCCCTCGTCGCTACCCCCCTCCTTCCTCTCTCCCACCCCCTCACTTTCCCTCTTCTCCCTTGAGGTGGAGGAGGAGGAGGAGGAGGAGGAAGGACATGGAGGGGGGACGAGATGGAGGAGATGGAGGAGATGGAGGAGGAGGAGCCCCTCCGTGCCTCCCCTTCGCGCTTGCTTGCCAGTATGGCGTGAACATGCTCCCCGTCGACTCGGAGCACTCGGCGATCTTCCAGTGCATGCAGGGCGTGCCGAAGAACGGCGTCAAGAAGATTGTCCTGACGGGCAGCGGCGGCACGTTCCGGGACATGTCCGTCGAAGAGATGAAGGCGCCGCAGCCTCAGCACCTCCCGTGCGCAGGAGGGATCGGACATCGGCGGCCTCACGCGTCTGGTCTCGGCTGGGTCCAGGCGCGCGTGTCCGCAGCGGTGTTGCGAGTGTCAGCTTGATGGTCCAACCACTGCGTCCGATAACAACACCCGGGGGATGCCAAAGTCGTGCGTGGGACGCACGACGAGGACCGAGGAGGTCGTCGTCGCCGCACGAAGACACGGACGACGACGACGACGACCACGACGGACGACGACGACGGACGACGACGACGACGACGACGACGACGGACGACGACGACGACGGACGACGACGACGACGACGACGACGACGACGACGACGACGACGACGACGACGACGACGACGACGACGACGACGACGACGACGACGACGACGACGACGACGACGACGGTGGGGTGATTTATTATCCGGGGCGGTCCGTCAGCTCGGGGAACAGCACATGGCATAAGCATGAATCGTCGGAGCTCCGCACGAATCCCCTGGTTCTGCTGGGCGCCTGCCTGGCGGCGCCCCGAGCTCGGCCACCTGGCGCGCTCCGCGCGGCAGGTAGGGCGGTCCAGAGCCGATCCAACACATGCGCGCGCACCTCCGAAAGTGTATATTGATGCGTTCGCCAGCGTGGACCCCAACACCAGGGTGTTTCTGGCAAAGCATATATATATATATGTATATGGGTACATACATACATACGGAAATGCATACATCCATCCATCCATCCATACGTGCGTCCGTGCGTGCATACATACATACATTCGTACACATGCCTGCATACACACATACATACGTACCTACATCCATGCACACGTACATGCACACCTACATCCAGACGCACACGTTCACATACATGCATGCTTTCATACATGCAAGCAGGCATGCATACGTACATACATTCATTCATACACGGACACACATACCTAGATACATACGTACATACGTACATACAGACAAGCATGAAGACACACATACATATTCACATGCTTGCATACGTATGTGTATACACATATATGTTGTATAATATATGTGTAACAGTCCACGTGGTGCAAGGTATGTGTTGCAACTAATTTCGAACGGCTCGGGGTTGTCAGCCCCACTGTTCGCGCAAGTGTCCTGCCCACCCACCCGCAACGTGGTGCGCAAAGACCGTGCAGCGACGGTTGCGATGAGTGCGTGGCGCTGACTGGCGCACCGCTGCGGCCGCGCTAGCGCGCGCAAGTTCGTGCGCAGAGCGGCCAGCTAGTTTGGCGCGACCGACGTTGCCGCGCCGGACCTGACCGCTGGGGACTTTTCCGCGCGTCTCGAAGGCCGCGTTGGCGCGCGGGCACTTCAGCGCGAGTTGGTGGCTGGGGCGGGCGCGACATCATGGCGGCGTCAACGTCGGCGGGCTCCGTTATGATAATAGCGACGATGGGGGCGATGACGATGACGGCGGCGCGGCCACTGACGGCGCCGATGTTGTCCGCGCAGATGGCGATGATGGTGTCCACGTGTCGGCGATGAACGTTTTGAGCAGATTTCGACATGCGCGCGCTGCCGACGCGCGCCAATGCCCCGCTTGCAAGGGATGGTGCCCCCCCCCTCCAGCACGCGCGCGAGGGCGTTCGACTGATTTCGGCATGCACGCCTGAGAGGCCCATGCGGCATAATTTGCTCAAGAAGTCGCAAGAGCGCGCGCGCCGATATTTTGGTTTGAGAAATACGGGTGCCAAACATGTGCTGCATGGTTTCGGGGATCTCGATTTCGAAATCCTTGAGAAAATTAGCGTATTCTTTTGGAGGGGCGATTTGGACATGCGCGCGCGGCGCCGCGCGCGTGTGGATTTTGTTTCATTTGTTGCCAGGTGTTTTGTTGAATGCTGTTGATATGCGATATGCAGGTGTGCGCGCATGGCATTATCTGACAGTGGCGACGGGAGTTGAAGTTGGCCTGGCTGGGTTTGATGTGACTTCGTGTGGAAAATGACAGAGAACCATGTGTAACTTGCAGCGTCCCATGGGGTGGGGCGCGAAGCTCAGCCTCTGGAAGGGGGGCGGGCGGGCGCGGTATCATGGCAACGCCGACTACGGTAGACGTGATGATGGTAGTGGCGATGCTGGTGACGATGTTCGCACCGACGAAGGCGCTGCCGGTGCGGGCGCCGATGCTGATCGCGCCAACAACGATGACGGCGCCCTCGCGTTGGCGATGGAGATTTTGGGAAGAGTTCGACGCGCGCGCGGCCGGCGCGCGAGAGTGGCCCGCGTGGTTTGATTGCGCGGAGCGCGCCCCCCCCCCCCCCCCCCCCCCCCCCCCCCCCCCCCCCCCCCCCCCCCCCCCCCCCCCCCCCCACTCCCCCCCCCCCCCCCCCCCCCCCCCCCCCCCCCCCCCCCCCCCCACCCTCCCCCCCCCCCCCCACCCCCCTCCCCCCCCCCCCCCACCCCCCCCCCCCCCCCCCCCCCCAAGCGCGCGCAAGGGCGCGCGAGTGATGTCGGCATGCGGCGCCAGAGGTCCGTTTGGCAGAATACCGTGAGAACGTTGAGTGACATATGGTTTTCTCAAGGATTCGCAGGAGCGCGCGCAAGTTTTATGTTGCGAAGCCATGTGCTTTTGAATGTTGTTGTGGTAGTCGCTTTCAAATTGTTGCGAACCGCAGTTTCTTGAATGCTTTTCGGCGTGCGCGCGCGACGACGCGCGCGCTTAGTTTTTCCTGCAGTGGATTCTCGCGACGGCGCGCGCGCGCAAGGGTGTTCGAACAATTTCGACGTGCACGCGCGCGAAGCCCATTTGGTAGCATCACCTGAGAGTGTTGAAACGCCGATGGTTTTCTTAAGGCATCGCAAGAGCGCGCGCGCTTTTCTTGAGAATCCGCGCTGCGAAACCATGCGGCGTTGTTTATGGGGGCGCTCGATTTTGACGCCCTCCCGTCCGAAACTGAAGGTTGTTGATGGGTTTGGGCATGCGCGCGCGACGACGCGCGCGCGCACTTCGCCCTGATTTCTGCCAGGGGTTCTTGACAACCTATGCTTATTGATCAAACGAGCGCGCGCATAATATGTTTTCGCGGGGGATGGCGGGGGGGGGGGTCGAAACCGGCCTGGCTTGGATGGTGCGCATTCATATTTAGGGTGGGCGATGGGGCAGAATCCCACGCAAGTGGCAACGCCGCATGGCGTGCCGATAAGGCCGGGGGGGAATTTATGTTCTTTTTAGGAAGGGGAACCTCTGTTGTGTTATGCGCGTGGTGCAAGGTCTGTGGTCAAACTTATGTGTCGCGATATATTTAGAACGCTGCGCGTGGTTTAATGACCTCTGCGGTGTAATCAGTTCAACTCCACTGTTCGCGCAATCATCCCGCGCGCCCACCCGCAACTTAATTTGAAGGTTGTCGAGCCAAAGCGGCAGCGATTGAGAGGGTTGCTTGGCGCCGGCTGGCGCATCGCTTCGGTCGCGCAAGCTCGCGCGCAGAGCGGCCGGCCCGTTTGGCGCGACCGACGCGGCCGCGGCTGCGCTGTCTGCTGGGGACTTCCAGGCAACGGCAGACACCGTGGCGAAATTAGCGATGATGGCGTCGATGAAGACGATGGCGACGGCGCGGCCAATGACGGCGCCGATGCATGTCTTTGGTTTGTCCGGGGGTCAGAGAACGGGGTCGTCTGTAGGAATGTCCCCAGAAGGGGCAGGGAAAGCGATTAAAACGGAAATCAGTTGTCGTTTTGGCGTGCAGGTTTTTGGGGTCAATTTGTTGTTTTGAATTTTGTTTGGGTTAAACTGTGGCTCCAGATTCGTAGCTGTTGGTGTGCACTTGTAAGTGTCGTTCGTTCTTCACTACTGCATATGCGTCGGTATTCGGGGTGGTTTGTCCGATGGGTTAGGCGCGGTTGCTGGCTTCGACTAGTGCCCTAGGGGGTCGGTGCTCGGCCTTGGTTTTGCAGCTGTGTCTTGCGATGCAAGTTGGTCTTCGGCCTCGGTCTTAGTCTTCGGCTTCGGTTTTGCGATGCCGCCCGTCTGCGACCTCGGCCCACATGGTAGAACAACGAAGATCGACTTCAGATTTGCGACGGGGGGGCGGTCTTGATTTCCTGAGTTCTGCGTGCACAGTCGCTCGCCGACAGCGCGGTGCCCCTTGGGTCCCGCGACGCACGGCCTCGTTGCCGCGGAGCACGCGAGCGCGCGCTTGTCTGCGCGAGTTTTGTTTCGCACCGCGCAGCGCGAATCACGCGAACGCACGAGTGCACGCTTTATCAGCGAGGCTTCGATGTCACGCGCTGTTTGCGCGGGGACTCGCGTTGCATAGCCAAAGGAAGTGGGCGAGTCTTCTGAAGAGAGCACCGCGCGCGCGTCGCCGAGTGCGTTTCGCATTGCGCCCAGCTGCCAGAAGCAAGTCCCCCCACCGCGCCAGTCCAGCACTTTGGGCGGCGACTGTTCGAGCGATGAAAACGACGATGGTGGCGACGATGACGGCGATGATGATGCGGAGGAGACAAACATTAGGCTGTCACACGTGCGCCCTCCCAATGAATTCCTTGGAGAGCCCTCATGGAGTTCAATTGGGCCGTATCAGGGCAGTCTTGGGTTCCTGTGGGGCCGTCTTGCAGGCCCCTTGCGGCTTTCCTGGTTGCTCTGGGCTCCGCGTGAGCAGTCTCGGGTCTCTCTTGCGGCCTTCGTCGGGGCGTCGCGGGGGCGCCTGGGACCGTCGGGGGTCGAGGGGCCCTCCCGGGCCGTCTTGGATCCCTTCGGCTGTCTTCGTGGGCTGTCTTGGGGCTCTCTTGGGGCCGTCCTGTGCCGCATTCTGGAGGTTTCTCGGCTCATTGTCGCGGCGTCTTGGGCCGTCTCAGGGCAACGTGGGAGGCTTCGTTGGCCATCTCGGGCTGATTGAAGCCGTGGGGCGATTATGTCCCCAAATCAACGAAGCGCCGCATCAAAATCAGCGAGTGTCGTACTTAGGGTCTTTCGGGTCCTTTTGGGGCCCTCCTGAGCCGTCCTGGGACGTATTGGGGGCTT